CTATTATGATTAAATACGCCAGTGAATAAAGTGTGAAAACGTAGTGTTATGTATTTAAATAATTTCGCTAACTTTAACACGGCAATTTTTCATAAGACTATTCACAATAATGGTTCCTGATTATTTATTTGATTCATCCTGCACTTTTACTTCTACTAGGCAAATAGGCTTTAAAATTAATTTGTTAAGAAAAGAGGGGTTGACAAGTGTTTTGAAACAAGCATTTATAGTTTCAGACTGCTCTTTAAACTAAAGGACAACCAATTGTCATTTTAACACCACAGTCTGACGCTTTTCTACTTAAAAAGGGTAGAGTGGCTTTCGAAAACATTAGTTTCATGAAAAATATTTTTTATCAAGTACAACATTATTTAAAACAAAGCGTAAGAGTAGACAAAAAGTTTTGTTAACTAAAATACATTTTTTTGGGGCGACCAACCATACTTCATTATGGAATAAGTAAACGAGTAACATTTTCATATTGCATATTAAACACCTTATTAGAAATTGTTCACTAGCCGTGACCGTTCTTTTAGCTCTCTTTGGGCGTTTCTATCCATTTTAGTATTATCGTAAAATTTTTTTTTTTATATTTATAAACATTTGCTTCTTGAGTGTTAACATATAATTAAAAAACGTATATAACTTTGCCAAGATCAAGTAAAATTATTTATATAAGCTATAGTTAGCGTGGAGCAGCGAGAATTTCTGATACCCTGAACATGGTGGTTATCTCCAGTGGCCGGCGTCTTGCGTTTAATAGCGTCGCGAAGCCTGACAAATAATTGGATACATGTGTATAGCAAGTAAGTTCCAAGCTGAGTAATGATAAAATACGCTTTGGTCACGAAATTGGACAGTGGTGCGCTCAATACTTAACAAGTATTACGATATTAATCGGTAAACAAAGCCCGTAGATCTTAGCTTAAACTGAGGGATTTAAAATAACTTTCGAGAATTGTAGACCTAGAGGAACATATTTTAATAAATGGATGTATTAAAGGAAAAAAGGTAAGTTAGAGGAGGGATACATAAGCTATAGCCGGCAGACTAGGAAAGTTTGGAGATTGGAACCTCTGCGGGTACCAGCTGCCTATCAAAAATGAGTTTAAAGTGGCTATTCGAGCTAGTTTCGCAGAAATGGATACAGAAATTGTAAAGGCGGATCTTATGTATTAACGGTTCAACTCGTCTGAAATAATTAAAATGCACTCCTTTAAAAAGGAAAGACGACCTCTACCTCTACTAGTCAAGACGTCTGAATTCCGAAGCAAGAGCTAAAATTGGAAAAGTATTGGGTCTATCGCCGTGTCGGTTGAACCCTTAAAAAGGAGCGGGAGGTTTGACCAGTGCTATTTATGTCAACTATTTGGATATACAGAATAATACTGTAAGTCAAGCTGCAAGTGCGTTAAATGCGATAAGCGAGAATGAAAAGCCTACCTGCCCTAATTGCCCAGGAATACATGTTTCAAATTGTGGAGGATGCATAACTACCAGAAATATGGGCCTTTGAGAAAAATTTATTGCATTTTTGCAACTAAAGCTTCCAAGAACCCTAAAAGCTTTCATTAAAGAAAATACAAACTATGTACAGCGTACTAAAGAGAACTTGTAACTTGAAGCAACTAATACAGCCCCCAAACGACATGAGGAATAAATCTGTAGCAACACTTACCAAATGCTATCAGTTATCTCTGGCAAAGGCCACTAAGGAGCTAATTTAAAAAATAAATAATTTTTTAGGTTATCTAATTGGAGGCCAGCTCAGAAACTTATTGCCAGAATGGACCTGGCCAAAATTTTACATCTGGTACACATCTGAAGAAAGGTAACCGATTTAAGGTACCTAACTATTCTGTTTTAAAGATGCGACAAAAAAAGATACTGGAGGAGAAGAAGTAGCTGTCTTAACTGAAAGAAACTTTACCCACCAAGAGCTCTATTTTTTATAGAGGTAACTTTAGAAGTTGTCTGTGTTAACATAGAGCTCTGTTACATTGGAATAGTAAGTATGACTGCTACTTACTCCTAAAATTGCGGGGCTTTTATGTCTGGAGAATTAAACTTTAAAAAACCCTTTGTGGAATAGCAGGCGGAGGAGCGGCAATGAAATAAGGTTTGCCGAAATAGCCACGAAAAAAATTTAATTGTTATTGGTCCAAATTGACCACAGTAGCATAAATAATTTAAGTACCAGTCAGAGTCAATATGCTATTTGTACTCTCTTCCGATCATCCCCATAGAGATAGGAGATAAGTCGATCTCGACAACTTGGGATAAAAAGGTAACCAGTTTTACCCACAGTTCGGGAATATTTAGAAAAAAGCATAGTCATCATGCAGCACTTCATTAGCAAAGCACTTGATTCAGACACGGCTGTTGTGCCAATGGAGGAGGTGAACTATAGTAGACCCACAAAAAACCAACAATATAACCTACTAGGCCATAGTAGATCTCAAATTATGAGAAGGCGAAAGCAAGATGTATAAACTCTTGTCTCCAAGCGATAGAAAACTTTACAACAAGATCAATATTTGAGGTTAAGGAGGACTTGAAAGCTTGATTCCTTAAGAGCTGGCAAAAAATATATAGACTTTTGGGTCAGATAATAATTCTTTAAGGAAATTAACAAGAACCACCGTTACATCTACTAAGGTTAGGGGCATAACACCGCTCATTCATGGCGCTGGAAGCCTCAGCTACGACGCCCTCCGAAGTAGTAGAGGGATTCGCTGACGCCCTGGAAGCCCACCCACATATACCAGAATCCGCACCGCTTTAAGCATGTGCCTACCGTAACTACTTCTTACCTTTTAGGACCTAACATATGTATCAAGGTTAAGCTTACCACCATTGCGGAAACTTAAAACTATTATCCAATCCTTTAACACTAGAAAAGCCTCGGATACCGATAATGCTTAAAAACTAAATTCCACGAGCTATCTCTATGAATTTAAGATTAATTAATAAAATACTTTCCACAGCCTACTCTCCCAAACTGTGGAAATTGGCTTAAGTAATTTTCATTCCTAAAACTAGTCCCTCTAACTTTTTTATTAAAGATTATCACCTAATAAGCTTGTTTTTTGCTTAGGAAAGGAGGCAGAAGCGGGGTCCTTTGTTAATTATAAGAATTTGTGGATGGCATGTGCGTCCTGCCTAACATTCAATTTTGTTTTCGAGTTAAGTACCCTACAATTCACTAGATAATTAGGCTTACTAGGAACTACAAAAGCTTTCTGATAAAAAAAAAGTAGCACCTGTGGTCCTTTAGATACTGAGAAGGCTCTTCGATAAAATAGGGCACGACTATCTAGCTTCCTTTTTTACTTGACTGTGGTGGTACACCTCATACCTAACGAATAGATCCTTTACCGCTAGAGTAAGTTCTTTGTAGTCCGCTTTTAGTCAATTAAAGGCGAGGGTTCCACAAGGTTTCTTAGTATCCCCTTTACTTTTTTCCATCTACGTGTGCAAAATACCACAATTGTCAAAAAAATAGAAACTAGGCTCAATATGTAGACGACACAGCCTTATATAATAGTTCAAAATCCTCGTCTGGTGTTTAAAAGCATAAGTTGCCAGTAATTGAGAGACGGTGTTCAACAGGGAGTTTAATAATTAACGAGCCGAAAAGTAGCTTTGTAATTATAACAAATGGAAGGATACTCACCTAGATTTCTAGTAAACTGTCAATTCTCGAAGTAAGAAGGTTAGATATCTCAAAATTGTGCGTGGTCGAACGACTAAGCTTAACTCCACATCTTTCTTAGGTCGTTTTAAAATCAGGAAAGTTAGAGTCGTGTTAGATCCCTTACTATGCAGGAAAAGCAAATTACATTTAAAAATGAGTTTCTGTAGCTATAGACCCGCTAATGGTCTATGAACCTACTGCTTGTGCCTATTTTTTAAGCAAACATATTCATAGACTACAAATACTACAAAATCGCATTCTAAAATGGTGTTGGACGCCCCCTTGGTTTGTGCACAACAGCTAACTACATAGTGAGTGTAACCTCAAGCCTATTTAAGTTCATCTTATCAGACAGACTCTTAATTTATGATCTAATTGGTTGCCAAGTACTCGCGCTCAAAACATTTCTTAGGCCTAGTAAAAGAAGGGAGGGGTATGGCTAAGGTTATAGTTTATTATATTAACTTAATTGTATATATATATTTATAATATTATGGAATGGAAACTAATCCATCCCTTTCATTAAATATTTTTATTACTTTTCTTTTACGTCTTTTTATTATATACTATTTAGCTATGATAACGCGCACCTATCCTCGCCAATGGCGCATAGAATTGTTAAGGAACTTGTGGTTTTTGCTCCCTCGATTAAAATTAAGCAGCAATCGATCATAAATCACATCTGTAGTAAGCCAGTACTATAAAGTGTGATACTTCGTCTTTTTGGTATCCAGCTTTCTCTTTTTTTTTTTTTTTTGCTCATTTTGCTGTTTTAGTTGTAGGTTTTTGAATATATTTCTTTACTATTTGGTAGTTATTCTATTATTCATTCAATTTATAACATATCCTTTTTTATTAAAATATTTGTTATTTTACCTATAATTTTTAGGCTTGTTACTTTGATAAAAAATTACATAAATTTATTTGTTTATTTAACTTGACGAAAATTTTAAAATTTATACGTTTCTTAGGTTTTGCTTGCTCTATTATTAAAAGTGTTGTCAAGTTAAGTGTTTTAACAGGGAACACTAAAGACACTGTTTTACTTTTCTATTAATCCCTTTAATATTCGTCTTATTTAAACAATCGCTTCCTTTTTAGAAGGAGCTTGCAATTTTAAACTTATACTATGTTCAAACTGACCTTTTCACGTATATATACATTATCTGGAAGTGAACTGGTGGATATTAGCGCTAATCTATTAATTTTTATTCCTATTGGTAGGCAACAGTTTGTAAAAATTAAGGTTGTATAGACTTTATATTACTACACTTTGGCATTTTGTTCTTCCTTCTTTAGACACTTAAATTTCATTTTTTTTTTCTCTCCAGGCCTTCTTTGAAGGAGAAGTCGCCCATTCATTTAGGAAGCACTCTTGGTTCGTGTTCTCCTGATTTAAAATTTGACTCTATCGGAAGGGCTATCACTACTACCTATTAAATATTGATGGCCTACTGACTTCTTGTTTTTTTTAAATATTGAAGAGTTTGGTAAGTTAATATTGTTTGATATAAATTTAAATTTAACAAGATAGTCTCTGTTAAATAGATCCGATATATTGCGCAATAAAAATCACTTTTTTAAGGTCAGCGACTTGCCAGCGTTCCTTCTATCAACAACTTATAGTTACAACGGTTGCTTTGATTATTTCTTTATGTTTAATTAGAGAGGCCGACTTGATAATGATCTTTATTTACAACTGTCTCAAATGTTATGCAAATTTATAACTCTTTGATATTCTTCTGTTTCTTTTGAAATTTGTTTGCAACCAATATAAAAATCAACTATGAAAGTCATTGTATTAATGGAAAATTATATAAGGTGTTTATTCAGCACCCAAATGCTTGTTGAGTGTTAAAAAATATAGAGGGGTTTAAAAATAAAGATTTTTATATAATAATGAAAAGTTTTAAGTTATAAACAAAAATAACGAATACCTGAACTTAGCCACTTCATATATTCAAAAGCAAGCATAGCCATTAAAATTTTCGGAAAAGTAGATAGATGAATTTTTATTGACGACGCCTTCCTTCGAAGCTCCGGTCTTGGAAATACCCACAGTTTATTTTTCTGTAATCCTGCACCTAATGCAATACTATTACTTCTTTCAATAAGAACAATAAGTTGTCTTAAAAAAATTTTATGGTGACGAGATCAACTGTTAAAGTACTCTTGTGAATTGCCTTAGACCATACAAAAGTGGTTTTTATCCGCATTACCTCTTTCCTGAATTTCGAGGTAAGCATTTATCTATAAACGGTCGCTACACTATGTACATACTGCATCATTGTCAATAATACCGCTCCTTGGTTTGTAACAGTATTAATAACTTTCACTTTGTTTGTTATTATTAAACTCGATTAAGAAATTTTTTTGACGAAATCCTAAATTCCATTTGAATAATTTCTTATTCTTGTAGAATTCCAAACCTAGTTTAAAAAATTAGTTTTCAAACTACAATCATCAACGACCTCTTCCGGGATATTTTTTCAGGAATGAAAGACCTATGCTGTTCAAATTTTGCTTTTGCAAAAATGTCTTGAGAAATTATCAAATTGGAGTGCTAAGTATATTCCTCTCGCCATTCTGTCAAAACCTTCCTCATAGTCATTCACTGACAAAGTGGGAGGAGGGGGACAAAACTTGAGCCCTAAACCAATAGTGGTTTTCAGGTTCTCAGGCATTTTTGTCCCAGACGGTGTTAAATCATGGAAAGCAAAGCTTTTGGCATTTGCTTTCATGATCAACACTTTTTGTCTCTCCAAAATATTGGGCTTAATTCCTTCATTTTTTGAAACTTTTCTTTGCGAGCATTGTCTTTTTTGGGCATTAACTTCACTACAGGATGCCTCTTCTTCTCTCCGAAGACGTTTGGCTTTCGCTATGCTTTGGTTACCACTCTTGCGTCCAGGTTTATTGCCTGGGGAGCATTCTTTTGAGTGGCCAGAAAAACGAAGGACTCGGAAGAGGTTTTTTTTCACGGGAGGTTGCCTTCCTCCCTGACCAAAGTTTTTCGTAGTCTCCAACTTCTTCTCCATTTCAAAGATAAGCTTTTTTTTCCGCACATCTCCCAAGTCGGATGAAACTATGTTTGAGGATCATTATCTTTGGTCATCTTCATCAAACTCTGAATTCATTTGCTAGTTTTTATTCTTCTAATAATTTCGCTGAGTGAGCGTCTGATTTTTAAACTGCAGCAAATTATTCTGTAGTTCGCGATAGAGTTAGTTCTTGATGTTTGGAGTGAATTTCTCTTCGTGGACCGTCACGAGATGGTGATCCTGTTCCAAACTTAAAATTACATTTCTTTACTTTTGAAAAAGAGCTGTTTTATCGCTTTCGATTTGCGGGAGAACTGTTTTTCAACTTTTGATAGTATTCCTCATGGATAAGTTGGATTTTTTTGTCCTCTTCTCCCTGGTAGGTGGGCGCCGCAGTTGAAAGGTGTAGTGGCTGAAAAGGTTTTAGGCGCTGTTCAGCTCTTCTAATTTTCCCGAGATAATCTCTTTAGCAGAAAGAGAAGCCAAAAGTTCCTTATTCAACTTCTTCCACTCCTGCAGACGTCCATCATACAAATCTTTCAGCTTGATAAAGGAAGGCAGTTTCATTTTCCTTTTGAGAAGACATTCTTTGAAGAGTATCTTCAATGTAGAAAAGTCGTAAGAAAGTCGTGATAATCTCAGAAAAATCATCACAAAGAGACTTAAAGATCCTCAGACTATTTATTTTATCAATAAAAGATATTATGCGGTATAGAAATTTTATCAATATAAATCTAACAAATATCGTAATGAATTACCTCAATCTAACAATAGCTTGGAAGGGATGAATTCACCCGATGCCCTACGTGGCGCGACTGGATCAAGACCGAAGTCTGCAAGGTTGCGTTAGATGAGGGACCTATAGATATTTTTAGGCACTATCATGTGCTGATAAACTATTAGTGTTTTAAGTCCGATATCTGACGCTTTAGATATTCCAAATGTACCAAGTGCCTCTTGCAGGAAGTGGACAACCCCCTTTAGATTTTGTTGATATCTCAACAGAAAGGATTGATAACATTACCGTGGGCAACCTAGATGAAACGTTAAAACATGGTACAGAAGGTTATGAAAATAGAAGTTATAAAGTTGATTATTTTAAGTTTTTGGGAATAGCTCCTGATATGGGCCCTATCGGCAATCTAGTTAGACTACATAAAAGAATAGAGAAGGAATATAAAAAAAATTCTGGCTTTTTTACTTTAAGAAAAATCTTTAAATTCACTGTTTGATGCCCGTCGCAGGCCACCTGTAGATTTATACGAGGAATTTTTAAACTTTTTAGGAGATTTTGGTTTTAAAGAAGGTGTTGATAATTCTAAAAGTTTATTTTTATGGGAGGTCCATAAATTTTTTTCCTTTTTTATAATTCCTGATGGATGATGGCTTTGTTAATTTTTGGTCTGGGTTAAAGTTGAACTGGGATGGTGATTAGAATTTTGTATGCCTTAGTTTTAGGATCCATTTGTATATCTTTTTTACTTAAATAAGTGTGATTCCTACCTTGTATTACAATATATGTTATCCAATATATATTTTAAATATACGTCAAACTATAAAATCTTTTAAGGTATATTTTGCAATCAAGTGAGCCGTTTTACGTACTTTTTTTAGTATATCTATTAGTAGTAGTATAAATAATTTACTTATTAACTACATTACATTTTTTTTGAATTACTTTTTTTCTTAGCACTGCAAGTGTCCTTGCTATTTAATACTCTTCACTCTTTTTGACTTTATTGTACTTCCGTCGAGGCTCTTATAATTATCAGTTTTACAGGATCTATTATATCTAATTAGTTTGTCATGCAAAATCTATATTTTTTAGTCTTAATAAAAGCAAAAATAACTGACTTTGTTTTCAAATTTTTAATTGTTAAAATTTAGTATTGTTTGCGTATTTATAACTGTAAAAACGAATAAGGATTTTTTATAACTAATTTATAAGTTCAATTCACATAGGAAAAAAAATATTATGTTAAAATAAAGGTGTTAGTGTAGCTTACAATATACAATTATATCGTAAAGTGTAATACACCTAGAGTACCAAGAAACTAAAGTTCCTTTCAAAACTAAAAAGAAAATTCACTTAGGTTACAGTAATGAGTCCTGAAATCCCATATCCAAGATTAAATAATTTACCTAATTCTAACTTAAGCTATAAAAAAGATAAAAAAGAGATATAAAAAACTATAATTTTTGTACATAAAAATAGGATACATTACAGAAGTTCAGCTTTACGGTTATTTTTAATATTAGCTTTTGTTGGGTAATAGTGACGTTTATATTACTTTCAGATGAGAATTGTAAAAATAGTTTGAAATAAAGTATATAAATAGATTCATAGAGTTTCGCTAACTATAAAAATAACACTGTGGCGAGACCTGTCCCAATAATTTTATCTGCAGAGGTGGTTGACTAACAAGTCAAGGGAGTGTCCTCGTAATACCATTTTTTGTAAAACGTTCAAACCCTTAAAACTCCTACCACAGCCGACCCTAATACTAGGGAGACCTGAGAAAACCCCTGTTACAGTTTGCGATGTTAGGTTTTATTAAATACTATATAGGAAAATTCTGGGAATACAGATTTGATCATCTTGTTTAATCGAGTTGTAATAAATTAATTCCTATCAACACCGGGAACAGTTAATATTTAATTAAGAAACCTATGAAAGAGTGGTTAAATAAAAGTAACTTGTTACCGTATTAAAAGTTTTAGCTTTTACCTTAAAGGCGTGTTCAGCTATACTAAAAAAACGCGCAACCTCTAATTGGTTGAAGCTGTGGTTATTTAAGTAATTTATATAACTAGTCATAGCTTAATAAAAATTTAAAAAAATACTTTAAAAGCGTGGGGGTAAAACTTTTCATACCAGTAATTGTTTCACCTTATTACATATCGTTCGCAACCATTTTACCTTGGACAATTCTACTATATTTCGCACTTTTTTCCCCAAGGGTCGCCCCTTCACTTTATTAAGGGCTGTTCGTAGCCGGCAGCACTTCGTAAGTACACTTTGAGGTACTTTGCACAGAATATTATAAAGAAGTCTATTGATTTTGTTGTCTGAGAATTAATGCTCAATATAGTTTAAAATAATTTGCCTGTTCCATATTTTTATGTTTTTGAAGCTTTTTCCAATAAAGTGCTTGAGATTAAACACTATTGAGTGCTAATAAATAGACCTCTTTATGCTTACACAGACCTTATTTTACAAATAATTATTTAATTTTTTAACTATGTCGGATATTGAAAAGGGACCTTATATCGTGCAACTTAATAACTTTTCCAAGCGACAAATATCTCCTTAATGTGAAAAGTTTGTAAGTTATTATCTGACGTAAATTGATATTTTTAACATTGGGTCAATTATTTCTTTGGCTTATCAATTTAAAGAGCTTTACATCATGGCAGTTTGTTAAAATATGCGTTTTGAAAAAGTTAAACTAATCTTACCGTTACCAAATTTCTAAAAATTTATTTAAAAAGTATTTAATTAAGAACCAAGTAACTATCATAAAAGAATATTTTGAAGGACCCCGGAGTTTGACTGAATTGTAAGTCTACCACCGTCAAATTCGTACTAAACCACTTAACAACTAATGAAAGTACAGGTTTAGTAACGTAAAAATGTAACAGTAATATTGCTTACCTTGTCTTAGAAATGTATTACCGTATTCACGTGAACTTATTACATTTTTAATTCGGATACCTTAGGGATAATAG